TCAAACAGGGTTGTTCTTGCTTGTTATCACTCTTGTCCTGGCAGCTGGATATTTCAATAAGCTTAAAGCAGTAGCAATTGGTGCTACTAAAGCGGGCCGTGTGACACTTCTATTTCTTCTGCTCAAGTCCTCCATTCTCTTCTGTTTACCCACATTTTCCCGTCAGATGGCTGGGTCAAAGTGGATTAAGCTGGCCAATTATGAACACAGAGACATCCTTGATAAGGCAAAGGTGAGGTTAAACTAGCCTTCTATAGGTGCAGGATTATGTCCTCAGTATGGTCAGCCAGGCATGCCATTGTAGACGCAGACAAGTGGAGTCGGGCCAATCAAGCTACAGCTTTCCTAGTATTTCCTGGTTGCATTTTACCAATGTACAACAGAGAGGGGCCATAAGGCTGGCAGCAGTTCTACCAGTTGTACAGTTTCAGTCCAACGCTTTTAAGTGTGGAGGGGTCAATGAGGTAGCAGCTTTTAGTGGCAAATGCCTTTTTCTTTCTCCCAACTATAAGGATATTTTAGTTGTCTGATAGTTTTCATAACTTTATTTAATTCATAGATCATTGAACAGAAGAGTAAAGTAATAAAAACAAATCAAAGCAAGCAAGCAAGCAAAAAAAAAGTTCCATAATCCCCGTCTCCTCAAGGCCTATATAACCGGTTCTTCAATAGTTTACTGAATAACATAAGGGTGTGTGCTATATGAATCCCTGGGAGAGATCACTCTAGAGGACAACAGAGTAGGCATGCTTTCTGAGCCCTGCAATATGACATTCTTTAATTGATGAGGCCAGAGTGGAACCCTCCTCCTCCCCCACTGCTGGCTAGGGATACCCACATATACCTGAATTTAAGTGATCTCCAAGACAGCCAGGCCCTACGCCAGGAGTGTCAAACTCAAGTCCCGGGCCAGATCTGACCTGCGGGGTGCTTAGATCTGGCCCGCCGGGCCATCCTAGAAACAGCAAAGGACCGGCCCACGGTGCCTCTGCCAACAAAAATGCAGCTCAGGAGGGCCATGTGCAGCCCTCTCAGGCTCCATTTTCAGCTGTAAAGGCCTCCTACTACCCTCTGCCAATGAAAACAGAGCTCTGGAGCTTGTTTTTGCTGGCAGAGTGCTTGGGTCACCAGACACCCCCGACACAAGTGATGTCAAGCTGGCCACGCCCAGCCTGATCCTGAGGTCAAACACAACACTGATGTGGCCCTCAATGAAATCAAGTTTGACACCCCTGCCCTACGCCATGACAGACCTTGTATGTGATAATCAGACCTTGAAGTCAAGTGGGAAGCAGTGCAGTTTGTGGAACAGCAGGGCAGGGTGCAAATAACACAGTGCCACCTTCATTGCCCACACTGCCCCATTATGGACCTGCAGAAGGGCATACTGAATGACTTTGAGGACCAGAAGGAAGAACTGCTCAGGTAATGATCAGACGGCTTGGCCTTGAGACCATTCCAGGAGTCTAGTTTGAGTAAATGTCTCAGACAGGTACCTCCCTAATTTGTATGAAGATAAAGTGCAGGGGGGGGGGGGAGAAAGCACACTCAGACTTGCAAGATGTTCTATAGATGTTGTATAGATGTTCGAATAAAAGTAGTTTTAGATCGCTATGGCTTCTTTTTAGCCTGGTCTACCTTATAGGACTAATAGGACCAACTGTAGTTTTCTAATGGTCTTCAGGGAAAGTCCCAAGTGGTCCTCATTTATGACCATTAGCTTAACAGCCATTCAAAGTTATGGCGGTACTGAAAAAAGTGACTTATGACTGGTCTTCATATTGTAATAATGACCATTATGGCCTCCTGAAGACTTTGAATTCTTGCCCCTCACCCCCTCCATCTAAGTACCTTTGGTCGGTCATTTATTCTCAGCCCTCTCAGATACTAATAAACCACATCCAAAAAATTCAGCCAAGAAAATAGACTTTTCCAAATATTGCCAGAAATCAAGCATGTTTTGAAGGTGGAAGAGGTAAAGCTGAATGAACAGGTCAGCAATTTACTGCAACCAGTCAGAAATTCTGTTTAATTATGGCTTGTTTTTAGCTAATATTCAACAAAATGCTTTTTTCTATTCTCCCATTAGCTGTCATGGCTCACCACTGATGCTGATCTTTTAAACAATTATCATCTCTTTTTGAAAGCCAAGCTGCACTGAAGTCAAGCCTTCATTAAGAAAAGGATAGGATTGAAGTTCATCTGCTGAATTCTTAAACAGATGGCATCGTACTAACTTATCAACAGACTGCACTTTTTATTTTAAAAGGTTAAATTGTAAGTTTGTATTATAGATTTGTCTTGAATATTTATATTTACAAAGAGTGTGCATTGGAAAAAGTATTATGTTGAGTATACTGGTGACAATCCACGCATGAATATGATATTTTCATCACTCTCAGTGACAACCCTCCAGTGCTCCCTTGTAAAAGGAAAACAAGAGCAACCATGCAAACAATTGTTTTCCTTCAAAAGTACTCCAATGCTACTTCACACACAAGAGCAGAAATGAGTCGTCCAATCAGACATTGTTATAAACAGGACTAAACGGATATAAGACAGCATAGAACAACTTATAACATTCACATTAGCTCTGAAGTTTAACAAATTCTGGGTTACAGGTAGTTCTCAGTTACCAATGGTAATTGAGACCGGAAACTGTGCCGCTCACACAATTGTAAGGCGAAACTTCGTGTGACTGTGCCAACTTACAACCACAATTCTGGTTGCCATTTTTAGGTGAATCCCACAAAGACACAGTATCCCACAAATTATCGCCATTTGCACTCTCCGGCCACCTTCTCCATTGACTTTGCTTGTTGGAAGCTGGCAATTAAGGTCGCAAATGGAGATCACACAATGGTGGGACCGTAATGTTACAACTGCCAGCTGCTTGCCAAGTGCACAAATCACAATTATGAGACTATGGGAAGACTGTGAGGGCTACAATGACAAATAATTGTTGTAAGTCCTTCTTGTTCAGCATCATCGTAACTTCAAAAGGCCAGCAAACGAGGGGACATTAAGCAAGGTCTGTCTGTCTGTCCATCATCTAAGTGAAGAAATATTTACATAACTTACTGTTAACGAGCATCTTTTTTAATAAGAAAAGTAAGCACTTTCTGGCAAGTTTTATTAAATGCGTAAGTTTATGATTCTTTTTTGGCAGAAAGATCTACCTATATATCTAGTTCCTGACAACACAGTAAACAGTAAGGCTGTGAAACGCAAGCAGTAAGGCTGTGACATTTCCATGTGTAATCCCCAGCGCTTACAAGATAAGAATAGAATAACCCATTCACAGCTGTAATCACTCTGACAACATTGTCTTTCTAGCTGTACCAGTCTAATTTAACAGTTTTAAGAGGTGTCAGATGTTCTTATCATGGGTACATTTGGGATATAAACAGAAATGTCACAGTGCTATAGTTGTTCTTTCGCATTTCATAATGTTTTGGCCCCAGTGTCTCATTCTCAGCCCATAATTCAGAATTAACTGTATTCCACAGAAGCATATCTTACAAAGATACCATAAGAATAAGTTGCTTTTCCTGTGAGACTATATATTTATCATCAAAACATCATTTTTTCTGATGTTACAATCTTGAAGATAGTGACTCTGAAGATCTCATTGTTACAAAGTACTGTGCAAATTTCAAATTTGGATAACTATCAATTGATTGAAACCCAGATATTTTTTCAGTGCTCAAACTTTTAAGATCAAATTTCAGCACTGAATGTAATCCAGGCAGTCCTAAAGAATCCCGAACCATGTGATGGCTTCTGAGAAGATTTCAAACCCACAAATATAATTGGATAAATATTCTGCCAAACAGCCAGATGCTTATTCTGGATGTTACACAGCTTAGGTTTTGGATTCTGTATTCTTCTTGAAAACAACATAAAATGTACAAGTTGCAGACTAGCAACTGTGTATTGTATTATCTTTTTTTCTAGAATGTGTACTGATTTCATGTTCATTTAAAAACTTGACTTTTGTCCATTTAGACTATTATGTATTGGAAGGCATTCCTCATGTTTAAGTACAATTTCATTTAAAGATAAAGCTAAAAGCAAAAAGGAACAAAAAGTGTATCTGCTATAATTTAACCTTTGATCTTTAACAAGATAGAAGATGTCAAAAAGGCAACGCAACAGTTACTAAACTCTGCCAATGAACCAGATGTTACCTCTAAAACTTTAGTATCTATAGCCTTAGGAGCAAGATTAGCATTAAGAATTCAAAGAGATGGAATGGCACATCAAAACTTTGCCCAAGTCTTTAGCTCAGACTAAGTTGAGAAAACAAAAATTAACTATCAGTAAATTTGGTAAGAGTTTCTGCTTAATGTTCTTTTTAGAGATATTATATGGTTTGCTTATACAAGTTCAGTACAACCACATTATCAGGTTCTTGTCCAAATCATGAACTTAAATGAATTGTCATGTCCTAACAGTATATTCAGAAAGAACTGGCTTATGGTGAAAAAGAAGTATCTGTATCTACCTATACATGTGATAAACCTCTATTTTTATTATTTTTATTATAAGCAGACATAGTTTTTGAAATGTAAGTGGGTAATGAAGAGAAGGCCTTCACTCTGATATTCTCCAATTCTAAGAAGTTTTGCTAAAAGAGATACAAGTGGTACTGATTTTACATATTTTTGCAACAACTTAATTTTCTTTATAGTTTTAGTTTCCAGATTATATATATTCCTCGTCCAAATATTTTTAGAATCCATTTTTTTGCAGGTAGGAATTAAGTATTATGGGAAAGTTTTCCACTGTTTGAAAACATAAGCCACTGCTCTAATTACACACATTGCCCAAAGCAAAATGAATACATCAAAACTTTCAAATGTCAAGATAAACCCACTTCTTTCTGTTTTTTAAAAATACTTTTTCTAATCTCTTTAAAAACATAGTAAATAAAGAAAATAAAATGCCATAACAGAATTTATAATGCAGATTTTCTAGGTCTCAGTAGGAAAAGTTACCTGCATAAAGATCTTTCTCAATAAGTTTCATCTGGAGATGGAAAATCTGTTCCTGGAGTTTGCAAATGGAGTGCTTCATTTTCTCTCGCTTTGTTACCATATAACAAAGATTTCTAACCTGCAAAGTAGAGTAAGAATTTTTTATTTTAATAATTAATTATTTGAAAAATGATTGGCAGCTCTGTACCTAATTTAACTGCAATCTATATGAATAAGATACATGTCGATAGAGAATCTCAGTCACCTAGGTCATGGTTGTCCCAAAGTTGCTTTTTCAAAAGGCAACTGGACTTTGCTTTTCTTTGAAGATGTTTAGTTTCTCATCCAACTGAAGAAGCTTATTGGATGAGAAGCGAAACGTCTTCAAGGAAAAACAAAGTCCAGTTGCCGTTTGGAGAATCACCTTTGGGACTGAATAAGATAAATTAATGCAAGAAGATACTTGAGAGACCNTTAAATTAATTAGGTGAACTATCTGAATTAAACACAATAATCCTATTTTACATTCTGGTGGTTCCTCTGGGCTGTGATTCTAAGACATTATACAGACTATGTACATTTATATTTGGGTCAATAAAGCATTATGCAAGAGCATATCATGTAGTTATTATCCCTTCTATAAGGCTATAGTTCCATTTCAACGTTTCCACATTTGCAGTTATACTGTAATTAATCATTTACTGAACAGGAATTTGAGATTATGAAGTTAAAAAAAAAAGATGCAAAGGTAGCAAAATTCCAAAATGCATTATGTGGAATCGTGCCAGATGGGACCATGGTCCAATGATAAAATATAAGCTTCACCCACATACAATAACATATTTAACCTTGGACATCCACTGCTAGCAACTGATGTAAAAGATCTTTGCTGGTAGACTTCTAGCAGTTTTCTAAATTTTCACTAGCTTCGACTCCTTCATGTTGGAGGTCAAATATTTTGTTGGCAATTAAATTTGTAAAACAAGTTTATGAAGATAACATTGGTTAGCCATTTAAACACACATTTTCTGGACCAAAGTTTAGTAAGGGTTGCACACAAGCACATTTATTATTCTTATATCCTGCTACACTGCCTGAACGGGCCCCTTAGGGCATCCTACAATATTAAATTACAAAACAATTAAAATCCAATTTTAAATGGTCACAAAATATCAATAAATGCTTAACAATTAATTTAAAATAGCAGCCTAATAAATCTACAGGGCAACACTAAGCAGCAGAGCAATAAAACCAGTCAGTTTAAAATTAAATCTGTCCTGCTCTTCAACAACCTGCTTCAGTAGAAACATTTGGCTAATTTTTGGGATGGGGATGCAATTGTGACTTCCAGGCTTCCTCAAGGAGGAAATTCCAGAAGTCATGAGAGTCAGGCCAGGCCTACACTTCCATTTTGTCCTTGTCAAAAGTATCCTGGGAGTTCCCACTGGCTTCTCTAACTCCATTGGATGATTGCTTGTCTTCTGGCTGCTCTCTCAAGCCATCTGCCCTTACAGGCAATAGTAATTAGGTCTGCTCTCCCCCACCACCACAGCACAAATGAACACAACAGAGCCCAAGATATCTGTTGCTAAGTTGTCAAGTGAATTTTGTCCCAGTTTATATCTTTTATAATAACCATTTTATAACAGTTCTTAAGTGAATCACAGTAGTTGTTAAGTTAGTAACACAGTTCTTAAGTGAATCAGGCTTCCTCACTGACTGCTTGTCAGAACGTTGCAAAAGGCAATCACAGGAACCCAGGATACTTTATGCAACCGTCAGAAAGACTGGTCAGTTGCCAAGCATCTGAATTTTGACCATGTGACTAT